AGCACCATGTCTTCCTGCACACTGCCCTATACCATCATGACAATAATGGACTGAACCCCAAATTATAAGCCAATTAAATGTTTTCCTTATAAGAGGTGCCATGGGCATGGTGTCTCTTCAGATCAATAGAAACCCGAATAAAGAAGTTGGCACCAGGGAATGAGGTGTTGCTGTGATAAGCTTGACCATGCTTTTGTTTGAAGGAGTATGGACCTTGGGATTGTGAATTAGAAAAGTAGTTGAAGGCTTTTAGTGCTGTTTCGTGGGACATACTAGTTGGTGCATGGAAGACAGTGGTGCTAAGAGATGTTGAACTGTGGGGAGGAGGATGGATTAAGAGTTTCCAGACTGTCATCAGTCCAGGGACCACAGACTGATGGCTGAGAGGTCATCATGGGATTGATCCAGACCCCCTGAATGTAGGCGTCAATGAGGAGGCCTTGCAATCTATGAGGCCTCAGGTAGTAGACCAGTATTTATCCCTTGTTCACAAATGGACTTTGGGAGCCCATTCTACATGGAGGGATGTCCTGTCAGTCTGGACACATGGGGGAGGACCTAGGCCCTGCCTGGAATGATATGACAGACTTTGAAGATCCCCATGGAGGGCCTCACCCTTCCTGGGGAGCAAAGGGGGTTGGGGTTTGGGGGTGGGAGGCAGCAGAGGAGGGTAGGGAGAGGGAGCTGGGATTGACATTTGAAGCAAGCTTGTGACTAATTTAAATAATAATAATAATAATAATAATAATAATAATGAAAAAAAGGTTTCCAGAGGAGAAGAATTTTATATGTTGCCTAGAGATTATTCTTCTGATATGGTAAAGAAAGTGGCTGTCTTTTGCCCTTGTCTGAAGAATCTGCCTCAGGCTAAAGAGAAGAGTTTTGGCTTAATTCCTTTGGCAAAGCAAATCTCAAAACAACCTAGACTAGACTCTGTCATGAAGTTATTAGTGGAAACTCTAATGAAGACATATAATGGATAGTACCAAGCTGAGCAAATAAAAATTTAAAAAGATGTACAGATTGAGAAAAGGAGTACCAGGAAGTGGAGTAGATATAAATCCTGGGCTCAAGGAGATAAATGGTAAAGAAATGGAATAAAGCTAGGTATGATCTCAGGGAAAGATCCCACCCACCTAAGTTTCCAACTTGTGAAAATGAATTAAAGGATATCTTAGAGCCAGGTGTGGTGTTACATGCCTTTAATTTCAGCACTCAGGAGGTAGATGCTGACAGATCTCTGAGTTTGAGGCCAGTCAAGTCTACAGAGCAAAATCAAGGACAGTCAAGCTCCAGCAGTGAAGAAAACCATAGAAAACTGAAAGGTGATGAAGATGTAATTGAATGATGAGTCTAAGTTAACTCCAAAAGATGAGTTCCAGTCCCAGAAAGGAACCGAACTTGGTGGCTTGGCCTCCTAGTTGCAGCTTTAGAGTCAAGCACAGAGGAAAGGGGTTATGGAGTTTGCCTCCATTCCTGAGGAAAAATGGTGATGCCAGGCAAGTGTCAGTGGTGTCACAGAATGGAGGTTTAGACCATTTAGTGAAGCTCTAAAAGTGAAGCCTGGATTGTCTTGCAGACACCAAGATGGTAGAGATGCCAGTGCCCTTGGATACTGGCTGTGGAGAGCTACTAACATTGGGTGGGAACATCCCAGGGATAGAAGTGTGTTTTAGTCAACAAAACTAAAAGAAGTTGTAGATCTAAACATGTTGACATCAGACATGTAGAAACAGTTTAGATTTTGCCTACTTGGTCTTCTGTCTTACTTTTGTCCAGTATTTTCTCATTATGCTCTTTCCCCTATGTTTTGGAATGGTAATGTATATCCTGTACCATTATATGTTGCAAGGATGTGTTCTAAGGGGGAGCTCATGGGCCCCAGACTGATAGCTGGGAAACCAGCATAGGAGGGACCCAAACCTTCTGAACATGGGTGCCAGTTAGGAGGCCTGGGCAATCCACGGGGCCTCTGGTAGTGGGTAAGTATGTATCCCTAGTATACAAATGGACTTTGGGAGCCCATTACACATATAGGGATAATCTTTCAGCGTAGAAACAAGGGGGATGGCCTAGGCTCTGCTCCAAATGATGTTCCAGACTTTGAAGAATCCCAGTGGAAGGCCTCACCCTCCCTGGAAAGCAGAAAGGGGATGGGGTATGGTGGGGGATATGGTGGGGTTGGTGGGGGGCAGGGGAGGAGAAGAGGGAGAAGGAACTGGGATTGACAAGCAAAACAAGCTTGTTTCTAATTTAAATTTTAAAAAAGTAAAAAGAAAGTATGTGTTCTTTTAATTTTACAGATGATTACAGTTAAGAGACTGCATGAATATCAGAAGAAACTTTAAACTTTGGACATTTAACATTGCTGAGATTGCGATAAGATGATGGAGACTTTTGAAGTCGGACTGAATGCATTTTTAAAATTATAACATGGCTACAAGGGTTTTGGGAGCCAGGGAGTAGAATGTGGTGGTTTGAAAGAAAATGGTCTCCAAAGGGTGTGAAACTGTTAGGAAATGTGGCCTTGTTGGAGTAGTTATGATCTTTTTGGAGTAATAGTGTCACTGTGGAGGAGGGCTTTGATGTGGGATGCCCTTCTTTACGCTGGGAATTGCATTGCTTTTATTGGTTGATGAATAAAGTTGTTTTGGTTAATTGACAGGCAGATTTTAGCTAGGTGAGAATTCCGAAGAAAGAGACAGAGAGAAAGAAGACAGCATGCAGTGGCAGGAGAAGCAAGATGCAAGGGCATCACCAGTAAGCTACAACTAGCTGGAGATACACAGATTAGTAGAAATGGGTTAATATCTTAAGGGATAGCTAGCCAGTAAGTAGCCTAAGCCTCTGGCCAAACAATTATAAATATATATTAAGTCTCTGAGTGGTTATCTTAAAGTGACTGGAGGACCCAATTGGCAGAGAGAAAAATGGTCAAGTGGGACCAAACTAGACAAAGAAAAGTCTCCCTCTTATAGGCTTTGAGTTTTCACATATGCTCAAGTTATTGCCCAGTGTCTCAGACAGTTTCCTGTTTTCTGCAAGATATGGGACTCTTAGCTACTCCTCCAATACCATGTCCACCTTCATGTCCTATCATGATGTTAATGGACTGAAATTCTGAACTGTAAATGAGCTGCCCCTATTATATATTTTCTTAATAAGAGTTGCTGTGGTGATCATATCTCTTCATGGCATAGAAATCCTTATTAAGCTAGTTCTCTATTGACTGCAATATTCACATATAAGCAAATACATATCATATCTGTCTTTTGGCATCCAGGTCACCATATTCAGTATGATTTGTTTTATCTAATTACTTTCATTTACCTGTGAGTTTCATGATTTTTTTTTCCTTAAAGCCTGGGTTTTTCAAACAAGGAAAAGTGGATGGAAGCTATCATGGGGGATATTATCTGCAAGCCTTCATTGGTAGAGGAGGAGAACAGGGAGGAACAATCTGTTAGGCCACTTTGGAATACACAAGTTAGAATCAAGATTAGGCTTCAGTTTGAAACTCTGTATCAAAATTAACAGAATTGAGTGTTACTAGTGAGGATATGAGCAAAAGAAAAACTATTAATTTGTCTGAGACATCAGTGAGGGAAGAATGATAAGAATCAGTTTAGATTATAGGTCTGATGAAAAGGTTAGTACAAATCAGTGCAAGTGATTATTATTATTTTCAAAGCCCTTAAGGAATATGGGTGTAGCTCAATGATAGCATTTATACAGAGTATGCTGGAGGACTACAGTTCAAGCCCAGTTGAATTTTATAGTTTTCAAAGGCTGTTCAGAAGAGGCATTTAGATCAGTGGAAATATTCGTGACCAATAAGTTGGAGTATCAGTCCCTGTGTGTCTCCAAGCAACTTATATTATTTACCCTTTCTCAGGGAAATTTTCCCTGCCTCATAGCCTCTTACTCCACACCTTACTTCTGTGGATTTAAGGATTTGTACACTCCTTTGTAATGATGAAATGCTAAATTTGATTAAATTTAAGTGATTGTATAATATTTTTTCTATGGAGTACTGGGTAACCCACTAAGAATGACATTTTTTAACCATTAGCCATCTATTTATTAATATACAATGGGCCAGAAATACATAATTCTTCTCTCTCAACCCACTGACCTACAATCATAGTATTAATCAGAAAATAAAATACAGATAAACTGGTTTTTGGCTTCCAAAAAGTACCACTGTGATTTAGATATGCTGAACTATTAGTACAAATTCAATATTTGACATATAAATATTTAAATTTTATGCTGAAACTGCATTACATAGTTAGTGGGAGAAAATAAAATTATCCTAAGGTTTCAAATTAAGTGGAGTTAACACCACAAGCAACATATCATTTTCAGCTGTTTCCTTTCATTACTATAGTAATAATTTAAGTCACCTATGATTGAAGAATGCAAACTGTGAGTTGTCGGTTTACACTAGTGTTAAAAAATATTTCCCTTTGTGTATTAACAACTTTTTAAATGCCTATTCTTTTCTAGAACTAATTTCACAGGTATATAATCATAATTGGTGGCTAAATGCGTAAATGAGAATGTAAGTGACAGTATATAAAAATATTTCAATTCATTTGAGACATGTGGGAATCTAGTCAAGATGTACCATAAAATGCTTATTAAATATTTATAAAGCCAATGAGCTTTAAGCTCTGTTTTTTGGTGAGGAGTACTCAAAATCTATTTTAATGACAAGAGTCTAGAGGAATTGAAATATGTACTTTTGTATTTCTCTAAATTGTGGACACAGTAGAAAGATCATATCAGACGACTGTTTATTGAAGGAAGAATGACATTTTTACTTCCATTAATTAAATATGAGTTCTATGATATCATGTTTTCTAAATTAGAGGTATATTTGATTGCATAAATGCACTACATGTTCATTACCAATTAATGTATATCCAGGCTGTTTCCTATTTCTAATTAAAATGAATGAAGTGGTTGTATGTAATAGGATATGCTGTTTTCTTCAGTATTTCAGGAGCGGTGCAGCTAGATATTGAAGTAGATCTATCCCCAGGTTTACAAGGATTCCCCACCCTGATTTCAACAGTGGCTGTTCAAGTTTACATTTCTACCAGTGGACAAGGATTCTTCTAACTCCACATCCTCAACAGGCTGAGGTAAACCATGTTTTCTGAATACACTGGAGGAAATTTTAGTATGGTGCCACTATGGGCTTGGCTTATTGGAGGCGCTTCTTATTTCCTCTCCTTGCCTTAGGTATTAAGTACAGTGTTCCTGCAGTATTGTTCCTGAGCACCCAAATGTGGTGCTGTTTAACATAAAAAATATTTAATGAGTTCTGGCCAAACAATTGTGGGATTCTACAGAGACCAAGCTGCCTGAAAATTGGGATGAAATTCTTGTTCCGTTTGTTACTCTGAGCTAGATTCCATCAAAGTTTTGTTCCTGGCACACAGGATATTCCAAGTAGCTCCTCAATCAAGCCCAGATAGGCATTAAATCACTCCTCCAAAGTGGTGAAAAAAATTTCCCTGATTAAAAACAATTCTGTGGAGAAAGACACTGAAATTCTCTCCTGGAATATTTGTATGCAGTCATGCCAAAATTCTTTTCTGCACATGGTTCCTATACCAGCCCTCTTGAATCCTCTATTCTCCTACTTTGTTTGCAGTATATGTAAAGTGATAATGTCTTCTTTAGGTGTTGTTCATTTAATCTACATATAATTAAATGTTTTCTCTTTTCTCATTAGTTTTAGTTTCATGTCTGTTTTGTTGAATACCTGAAAAGAGAGATTATTTCTTTAGACCATTTGCTTGGAATACTATTTTGCATTCCATCACTTTAAAGCAATGTCTATCTTTTGTTGTGAACTTCATTTCTTGGATACAAGAGAGAGATTGATCCATTCCACTTGCTTATTAATTACACTGCTCTTGGTCATATTATTGGCAAGGAAAGACCATTAATATTAATATTCATTACTGAAATGTGAGTATTTATTCCTCTCATTTTGTTGACCTTGCAGTGTTTAGGTTTTCTTTAATTTTGGGTTAAATATATTTTTTCTTGTATTTTGTGGCTGTTGTTGGTTTGTTTTGTGACAGGGTTTCTCTGTGTATCCCTGGCTGTCCCGTAAATCATTCTGCAGACCAGGCTGACCCCAGACTCAGAAATCTACCTTCCTCTGCCTAGCAATTGCTGAAATTAAAGTCATGCACAACCACCCCTGACTAAGTAGTTGCTCATTGTATGTGTGTGGATGAATACATACCACAGAATATTTTGGAGGTCAGAGATCAACGTTAGTGAAGTTGGTTCTGTCCTTCTAGCTTGTTTTTAAGGAAGCATCTCTCTTAATTCTTCCTCCACAGCACTATGGAATGAACTTTAAGGCAAGAAGGCAAGTCTCCTATCATTACTTCCCAAACTTCTTTAGGGTATTTTCCCTTTCATGTTTCTTTTGTACACATTGTATATTCTGTATTATCTGTCTGTCTGTCTGTCTGTCTGTCTGTCTGTCTCTCTCTCTCTTT